CAGAGGGCTTTTCCAACCAAGCTATTCTGTGTGATTCTGTGTGTGACATTAATTAGCCAGATTCTCCTCCAAAATTCCCCCCAAGATTTTCAGTCAAGATTTCTCAGCGTCACTCATGCAGGTATTTTGTACCTTCTGCAGAGAATCCAACCCATACCAAATAGGATTTCTTCGTAAGAGAAAGAGGGTCTCCATGCAAAATTTGTTTTTTCTTTTTTCCTAGCTCCATCAGCTGTACTCCGAGGCACTGATCCCCATCAAAGCCAGTACCTAGGAAGAAGTTGTTCAATGACTACGTTAGAAAACAAAATAATTCTGTCATCTTTTGACTAAATTTAAGTTTAGTATCAAAAACTAATGCTAATGCAGGGTTGTCCATGAACACCACTGTCAGACAAGTGACCATTCGTCATTTCGGACATACCAAGCATGCACAACAACTACTACCTTAGTTTCCTACAGTAATTCATTCTGGCACATCTGAAACCCAACCTTAACCTATTAATGTCACAGTTATAAAATTTTCCCCTTCCCCACAGCTTAATCTAGGCATCTCAATTAAAAAATGTAGGTTTTGCTGTCAGATGTCAAAGATCCACGGGTTGCAACAGTAAAAGCATCATCAAGAAGAGAAGAAGGAGAATGATAAGCATCACCAAGAAGAGAAAAATAATAAAATACTTCTGGTGATTATGTACATATTAACCAGTTTGAAGCCAATAACAGACAAAGATTGAAAACATAACCCCAGTTCAAAAAAGACAGAAGGGAGGAAACTACCTCTGTGATAAATAATTATCAACTGCTCTCCATGTCCTGCCATAGACACCACGGGACCTGGAAAACTGAAGATCTCTTTCTGAACTCCCCCCACTGTAAAGACACGAACCAACAGGGCACTGGTGGCACAAGCAGCCCAGCCTTGGCCAAGACAGATGGCTTCAATGTCCTCATCCTTTGGCATATCCACTGTCCACTCCTTGTTTGCATCACATGAGCTAAAATGAATGCAGTGGAGCTTGCTAAAGCAGAGACAAAGAACAACAGTCAAACATCTCAACATGAAGAAAAAGACAACATCTGAAAATAGACCAATATATTACCTATTTTATCAGAGACCTGGAATCTGCAATGGTCAGAGAAAGGAACTATAAATTACAAGAGGTCATTTGCAAAGGTGTTACTCTTATTATTCAAGAACTGAAACCAGCTCAACCTCCAGCACTGTATGTTTAGAGCCTCTAAAGTCTGAAGCAGAGACAGTTTAGAGGTCTGAGGAGAGATTTTTTAGATGGAAACAGTTAAATGTCCTGCTTAATTAACATTAATAAGAACTGAAGGTGCTTGGTACCCCTCAACTCTCACTACAAGTCTGTCATATTACACTATCTTTCTAAGGGGAAAAAAAAAAGCCCTAGGAACTTCAATTCTGTCATCTTAATTGAAAATTGTCTATAACCAATTCACAGACACCACGGCTTTTGATCGATTACCCACTTTCACTGGGAAAATAAAAAGATATTTTCAATCAGCCAGCCAACACATACAAATAACAATTTTAAAGGTAAAGTGTGCTTTTCAACTTATTACAATGCTGCATGTGTGAAAATAAGAAAAATGAACTTTCTTCAAGATAGTTCCACAGAAATCAGCAATAAAACATCGTTGCTATTGTCCTTAAATGCAAGAACAGAGTCTAGCTGGCTCGGCTGCTTAAATCTTTCTATGGTTTTCAGAAACGTGTGTCCTTCACACTTATAAATCTTTGGGTATCTCCAAACATGTCTCCTTAGCAACAGTGCGAAAAGAAACAGCATAGTCTTCATGATTTATCTTTGATCTGACCAGACTGAAAAACTACTGCTTATGTTTACAATTTCCTTTGAGGTAGCAATGCATGAAGTTTCCAGTACATATATGTATTTGAAAACACAATTTAAAAAAAATCCTCAAGACACAAAATGCATCTTCCAATATTCTTGAAGTCTTCAAGTGGGTGGATGTGAAAATCCTCCTCAAAAGTGGTCCCATAAATAAAAAGCACGATCAAAAGCCAAAAATCTCAAAGAGTGATAGAAGCTGAAATTAAAAGCCAAAAATATTTGAAACAAGGTAAGTGTAATTCCATACAATGGGTTTTGCAGAGGAAGGCCACTGCTTACCTTGCAAATTCCTCTGTACTCTCACAGGCAAGTAAAACAGCTTCAGTAGAGAGGTCGGCCATCGTGTGGTTCAGAGAGTTTGGCAGGTGCGTTGCATGATGTATGGAGGTATCATGAAATTCTATATCTATAGCGTTGTCTTGCTCATCATTGTAACAGCGAATGATACCAACAGAATTCCATACCTGTTAAAAGAAACCCCCCCCAAGAAATTCAAGCATGTAACTAGTTTTATCCTCACTAGCCATCTTTCTCCTTACAAAATTAAGTGTGAAGAATTTGTGTTTAGACAGAATTAGTGAAGGATTAACATACGAGTCTTAACAGCACAAAAATAGCCACAAGTTCTGGCTAAAAAGGAATTTTTAAAAATAAGATTTGCTAGAATTCAACAGCACAAGTACAAACTGTAAAGCTTACTTTTGTCTTAAAGCCAAGTATTCATTTCTACATCAAAAGCAGACAAAATATAAAGAATAGTATTTTGCAGTCTTCACATTAACACAAAGCCACTTTCCACCATTTAGCTTCACATTGTGAAATATTAAAAAAATAAATAATTTTGGAAAATATTAGATTGAGACACAGGAAGAACTGGACAATATTAACAAAGCAACCAGACCTACACAAACACACAGCAGCGAGATTTACCATGAAACGATGCATGAGATGTGCAGGAGTGGAGCCTGACTGGAACGGCTTTTGCCTGGGGGTTGGCCTTGGCCCATCGTAGAAAGGCTGCTGTGTAGATGACGGTGGTAAAGCTGGAAAGCCACCAGTGTGATCATCATCATCATCGACGTCCTTTTCAAGAAGACTGGAACTAGCTTTTATCAGCCCAATATCTACAAGTTTAAAAAAATAGTCTGAAACATGACAGAATATAGGTAAAAAATTTAAAACAGTCAAGCTTTCTCTGGAAAAAAAAAATAAGGCAAAATACATCTGAGTAGAGGATTCTAAGAGATCACCCCAATAAAAGCACTCAAAAGTTCTGGAAAAATAGTTCATTTTGTACCTAGCGAGTTATCATCATCATCAATTATTGCCCGTCTCAGATGGCCTGAAGTCAGCACAAGGTCATCATCGTCACCATCATCTTCATTAGCTCCAGCTGTCGGGGAAGACTGTGGTTCAATCACATCTCCATTTAAATAGTCGTCATCTTCTCCATCAAAGAGATCATTGTAATCTTTTGTCACTGCACTGGCAACCTAAAACCAGGTTAACGAATATCAGAAAACTCCTTTTGGACATAGAATTCAAGTAACTATTTAATACTCACGAGGGAGCCTTCAACACACAATACAGAACATTCAGTGTAATTTTGTAGCCTACAAAATCATGTTAAGAAATACTTGGTACTGATTACCTTGTCATTTGGTTTCTTTCCATCACCGACATTTTCCAACAACCCCAGATTTCCTTCAGTATCTGTATAAGCAATTTGCTTGTATTTGGGGTGCCATGCCAGTCCACAAATTGAGTAGTTTTTCTCATGCTTCATCCTAAAAAGAACATAAAAACAATGGGTTTTTAGTAAGCTTCTCAGGGCACAAACCTCCCCAAGAATTTCTAAAAAGTTCTACTATTTACTGGTACTAGAAAGTGAGGTTACAGTGATGTTACACATAATGAAATAATTAATAGGTTACCTTTAATATAAAGCTACTATAAAATACAGCAGGTCTTCCTTTTCTATGGAGAAAGTAATTTAAGCTTTAAAAATAAAACAGAGTCATATTCAGCTTCCTGATACATACAGAAAAGACAAAGTTAATTCCCCAGCAGTCATACATTCCAGAACCATCCAATTATAAAAAGAACATTCAGTTGTTTCTCTCCTACCAAACTGAGGAGTTAATCCTCTTTTTTCATCTTTTCCACCTTTATTCTCACAAAAAGTCCTCTCATTCATTATTTACATAATCAGTCTTTAATTCTTAACATAGGTGTTCAAGTAACAATCACGTTTCTTACCCAAAATATTCAGACAGATAAATCATCCCTTTCTCTTCTTCTCTACCTCACTTAATGATACTTTTTTCTTTTATTTTAAGAGATGCTTTAGCTAACGAAGACACAGTACAACTTGTCAGTTTGTCCTTTTTTGTCTACAGGTAAGGATGGAGAGCTAATGCACTTGTAGTTCCCTCTCCCTTTAGAAAACACATCTTACTGCCAATGATCTTAGGGTTTGGGATGCAAGGAAAATTACTTGATTAAAGGATGGTTTTGATGGAAACAGTTAGATTAAAAAGTAATAAAAGAAAACTAGACTATGGAATTATAACAAAATCCACATTCATGTCCCTTCCCGATTCTATTTCTAAGAAGGTAATGTTTCCAGACCCTTCTAGCTATACAGAAAGAAAACCAGTATATCACACGAATCAGAACTTGTGTGCACACTGGATACAGTGAGGGAACGTTAGCAGAAAACTTAGAAATTTGCCCTGTAAATCTTATTAAGGTTTTTCAAGAGGCAGAATTCTCCATTTGAACAAGTAAGTTTTGCAGAAAAGAGAAAAAAATTCTATTTCAAGGAAAAAACCCATGTAGTGAGGGATTTATGAAGAACGTTGAATACCTCTCTATGCATTCCTGGGTTTCCATATTCCACACCACTATACTCCCATCCACACTTCCAGCTGCCAAGTACTGCCCACAAGGAGACCAGGCCACAACATTCAAGGACTAAGGGAAAAATAAAAGGAGTATTACCAATGCATACACAGCATTCATATTCTGGAACTTAAAATAGGCAGATATTCTGGAATAAAAAATTAACAATAATGATCTTTTGCAAATCATATCCAGCTTGCTGTATTAGAGCTGGCTTGAGGTAGCTCCCTGCAAGGACCATTTTTTAAAGACAGCACACTTCTTTTTCTTCTAGAATATCCGTATTTTGCCATTCAACACTGCCATGAGGTGGAACAGAACGTGATTCTAGACATATGGACAGAAGTATAGCATATTTTGCAAACTCAGCACTAAACATAACTTTATTTATTTTGAATTTATTACAGTTCCATAAATGAAAATCCGAGACAGAGCATTCTGCAACTTAATAACACTAGGAAAGTGGTCCTCTTTAATCCAAAGGTTTCAACGTATATAATGAGGTCAAAAGAAAGGAGACGGCACATGTAGGGCTACTATGTGGCTGAATTTCAGCTTAATAACATCTGAAGTGAACAATTGGCATCTCTGTTCTGTACAGTAATAATACTATTGACGTTTTCCCTTCAAAGCTATGTATTAGAGCAATTGGTGAAAACACATGTTCTTCAGCTGCAGCTGGTGACTCATTGGTAGACCTTAGATCTAGTGGGTTACTATAGATGAAGGAGAGGAACCAGAGCCACATAAAGACATTTGACACTCGTCTATTATCTCTTGCCTTGTTTTCCAACATAACACAAGACCAGAAATTAAATAGAAAATGTGAGCCTTCGTTACCAAGAGGTTAAAAAAGAGAGACACTGTCCAGAAGGTAATTTCTACCAGAATAACATTTGAATTATGGAAGATTTAGCAAGCAGCTGGTTTATGTACCTACCTGTGTGATGAATGTATCTGACAGATCGAACTGACTCTCCCAAGTTTCTCTTCTGTAAAGCTTAACAACTTTATCAACAGGAATTGCCAGCAACTGTTCAAAGGAAGCAAGAGTCTGACAATTTAGAACAAGTTCTAGCAGTTTCAGGTTTCAAACAGAACATTCAAATAGCATTGCTCCTTCACTCAGAAGTATGAGAGTTGTGACTGCCTCAGCACTTAACAGTTCTCTTGCATCCTAGCAATGCCAGCTGAGAAAGTAAAGAAAGCTGCAGTAACTTGAATTACAAGGTTCTGTAATGCTTTCCACATGCAACGTAGTAAAGCGTGCCTGTTTTCATTTTAATCTTCATTTCTTTCTGGCAGAAAACTGAAGATAATGACAGCTGCACCATAAGGTTAGAAGTTCTTTATTTATGAAACAGCTAACAAACACATATAAAGGTTTCAATGCTCTGAGCACAAAGCTTACATTCTCCTTTTCCCTCCCTCCCCAAGCCCCTTTTGAGCAGGTTACAATTTCTCAATCAATCTTACTTGAAAAGCCAATTCCTGAAGTAGCTAATTTAATCTTTCACAAAACTACATATATGTTACTGCCTGTTTAGCCTTTTAGGATTTGGGTTTTTTGAAGAATTCTAATAATTTCCTTTATAAGAAAAGCAAGACAACGACTTACATTTCAAGTGTGTGTGTGTGTGTGTGTGTGTGTGTGAAGAATTAACCTAAGTATTTGTTTTTATGCAATACGGATATTGAAACAATCTGTACTGCAGGTGACATTCTCTTTTCCACAAAAATGTTCGACTTGATGCTATCGTGACATTTAAGAAACACAGGTGAAAAGAAAGAGAGCAACTTACTAAGGAAATATTTACAAAGAGCAAGATTACTGATAGGGCAAAATTTACTTAAAGTAGAGGAAGACTGAGCTCCTTTGATGTTCTGTTGTGAGCAATTTGATTATTTCCCTGGTGTGCAATATTCCTTCCTATTCAGCACAACAGGACTGTTTAACATTGTTTTGGGCTGACAGCTGGACTACTGCCAAGCGCAGTCTGGAGCTCAAACAAGACACCATTTCCAGGTTTTTATTTTTCCTAAAAGTGAACTTCACCCCAGATATTTTCCTTAGTCCCAGGAGCTGCAATTCGGAATTGCCCAGATTGAATTCTATTGCTGGACTCTCAAACAGTAAAGAAGGATTAAGATGTGGCTAAAACAATGTCACTTACCTTCCCGCTGCCAGGTTGCCAGCCAAGCCTGCATATTGATTTAGCATTTATCACATCATTACATTTCTGCAGCAGTGGCCAGCTTGTCGTGCATGTCTGAAAACAAAATATTAATAAAAATGAGTTTTCTGGCTCTGTGAAAATCTATTGTATAGTACAAATTCTTAAAGGAAAAGCATGGAAAGAAAAGAAAAAAAAAGATGCATTTTCGGAACTGAAATCATCTTTCATCCAAATACAGTGGTACACATTGCCTTAAAAAAACAAAAGCAACTGAAAAAATACCTTGCCAACACAGACTTGAAAATATTTTAATGACAATACAAGTACTTGTAACAGAAACAAGATCACAGAATGAGTGTTTTTAATCAATACAGAACAAACGAGCTCACATTTTTAGGTCGCAGAGAAATCTGGCCAAGTGCATCTGTCAAACCCAGATTAACTGCAGCAAGGTGACACACATCAGCCTGAATCTCCCCACAGCAGTATAAGGAATGAATGGCTACAATGTTCAAATTACAGCACAGATACATACATTATACCACCATTATCCCAGGACACTGCTAGCCTAACTGCCCCAAAAGGCCCCCACTGCCGGTCTGGAACACGAGATTTCACATTAGAAGTATGCTTTTGTTTTAAAAAGTAGGAACCACAAGCGTGGGGCACATTTTCAGGTGTACTTACAGGAATAATTTTGCGTGGATTCTTATTCCAGTCAATGGCATTTAGTAAAAATAATCCCACATAGATATGCAGAATTGCCTTATTAAGGCATTCACCTGAAACCCTCTTTTCAAGTTCCTCAGAGTACCAAAAGCAGATATAAAATCAGATTCTCTCACAAAATCTGATCTCTTACAGGCCCTGAACTATTTCAGCCACGCTGAGCCCAAAGACTGTATTTCTAATAAATTATATTCTTCAAACCATTATTTTATGTCCTCCTTCCAATAAACTGTAGTGAAATTTGTAACAAACAAACAAAAAAGTAGAGCGCTGAGCCCCTTCTCAACAGCCTTAATCTAATTCAAAACCAAAAGCTTGAAATGTACTGATCTGCACCTTGAGTCCTTAGAAAACTAAGTACATGTGCCACTGAAACAACACTGTGTCCAAAGACCCCTGTCAAAGAAAAATCTCATAATCTCAGTGATCTTTGCACGTGAAATCCATCTCTCTTCCTTTTCTCAGGCCAAAGCAATTGTGTTCCTAGGATCAAGACTAACCAACCAGATCACTTACAAAAGAAGACACTGTGTAGCATCTCAGAGCATTATTCTACTTTCACCAGTCAGTCTACAATCCTGAAAATTATTCATTATTTTATAGGAAGATTGGTAAAAATAAATAAAAACAATATATACCTAGATAGTTGTTTATTAGAATAAAAATCCTTCCTTAACCCTGAAAGCAATGAGCTGAAATTCTGAAGCAAGGGATCTAATGCTGACAGCTATCTTTACACAGAAGCGCTATTTCTGGATGTGCTGAGGACAAAAGAGGCAATGTTGGGCAATGAAGAGAAATGAACAGAAGAAATCAGGGATTCTGCAGACAGGAAGAACAATCCACAGCTACCCTGAGAACATTTCATTATCAGGCTTTGGAATTTCTCCCAGAAGTAGATAAAAGCATTCTGGAAAGTGTAGTTAGATTCCTTCCCCTGAAAAACTGAATTTGCCATCTCTTCATTCAGGTGCTCCAGTGCATAGCTAGCGTTTTACTTGCACAAGAACTTCAGATAGAAACACTCTTGTAAATACTAGCAGCAGCTACTGATGACAGATCATAAGACAATAAGCATTTATTCAAGTAGCGTTATTTCAGTCCAGCACTTCTCACTGTCTATGAAACCCTGGATTTCTTACGAAACACTTAACTTTGAAAGGCAGCCTCTTACCTGATCTGCCATTTTCCATACTCTGACAGAACCATCACAGCTTGCTGATGCCTGTGTAAGGTATTTTTTAAAAACAAATTAATAATTAAAGACATAGAGAAATTAATGCTACAAAATTGAAAAAAATCCCTATAACCAATGCTACAGATAAATAACATATCAGCAGTTTTAAAAGAAAGCCTCCCAGTTTAAACCATTTTAAGACTTAAAACTTTCTGTCATCTTTATAATTGTACTCGACTCCAAGCTACCGTAACTACAAACCCTCATACATCAAGTGAGCTGCTCATTCACAAATAAGACTCAAAATTAATATTACATTTCTTTAGTGAGCCATCTTTTCCCCTCTGAAATCAGATCAGCATTAGATTTCAGAATAACAGACAGTAATGGAGTAGTAAAGCAAAGCCTGAGTTCTCCTGGGAGGCAACAAGTTGTCACACATGCCATCATCAGTACGGTCAGCTGAAATGAAGTAGTCTCTTATGCCTGGTCGCTGTTTGTTTAGTTGGGCATTTTCTTTGAGAGGCGTTTCAGTATTTTTTCCAAGAATATTTCTTTTTGAAGGTAAACAACAAAGTATTTTTACCAGGTAAACATCTTTAGGGTCAAAAGACAGGCTTAAAACAGGAGCATCATGTCCTCGGAATGTCTTCTGCTTGCTGCTATCCGCCACCTCCACAACTTTGACCATAAAGTCACTGCAGATCACAACAACACAGAAATCAAAGCATTAACACTGGTATTAACAATGACAGACTATTTGTTTACCACAGTAAAATCTGAATTTGACAGTAACTATCCTTTGGGGAAGTTATGGCTCTCAACGCTGTATGATCTAAGGAAAAATGAGAATTGTGAAGGTTACTACAATAGGAGCAAGCCCAGATTATCAGAAAGTAATTTCTGCTCATATCAAAGTTCATAAAATATGGCTGCTCTTTGAAAAGGATATTACGTACAACAGACCATATATCTGTTTAATATAATATTCTATATGACCTAATGGATACCTGTGCTCAGATACCAGAGATGACTTAGCAGGAACTATCTGTTAAATGAGACTGATATTCATCGCCCTAATTATTTGGTCAGGCTGCAGAAGTACTGAGGTTTTGTAAAAGTTTTAGAAACAGAAATGAGTTTGCCATCTGCCTAATCTCTCTAATCAAAGCCAGGTCCTGGGGCAGAGCTGTTCCCTCAGAAACAAGTTTCGGCAAAGGGCCCAAAACCAAGATTCCTGTCAGATTTAGGGATTAGAGTGGTTGCTGCCCCCAGCTGTCCAGCCTCCCAGTTTTGGGGGAGCTGGTGTGCCTACTCGTCAGCTGCCAGAGTTCACAGTCCAGCATATCCATCCAAATTGTTTTCTAGTTCAGTTCACGCTCAGAAGAGTCAGAGAGCAGATGCAATGCTCTGCCATCCCTGCTGTGGGGACGGAGGACAATTTCCAGTAGAGAATCAAGATGACAGCCTGGGTTAGCTACAGCTGCCCAAAGAGTTCACCAAGTTGAATTAAGAATCACCTGAGCCTTAAGTAAATGGCAAAAAAAAATACTGCCTGCTTGCTATTTTGTTATCTCTGAAAATAGAACACAATATATTATGTAAAAGCAAATGTGCTGTCCTAAGAAATTAACTAACTACGCATTTAATTCCCCTCAGGCGAGTCTTGCAACTGTCATCTGTTATCATTTGGCAGAATGGTAAGGATACTGATGCCAGAGAATGCCTCAAAGCTCTCACACATATTAGAACCCATCTAACTTTGTTATATATACATATATATTTTTGTATATACACAACTGTAGAACCATGATCCTGAACTGTCAGGGCATTATCTTGAGCAGAGTAACAAAACTGTTGGTGCTGCAATGAGATCCATCTGGGAGAACACTTACACTTATACATACACTGAAAGCTGAAAACACTCAACTCTCCTAAAGAAAAGGAATTATTTCACAACACCAGAATTCCATTCAAAATTATTTAGTGGATCAAATATCTCTCAGAGCATTGTTTCCTAAAGTCCTTTTCATTCTTTTCTTCCCCTCCACCCCCAAAAGGCATTTTGCAATGCTTTAAAACCCTCAGAGGCATGTGGATTAATGATCTCATTGGTAAAAATCAGCATGTGAGGAAGTTGCCAGATTTAGACCAACAGCAACGCTTTTCCGTATCGTGCATCGATTACCTTGATCCAGCAGCAACTTTGGTACCGTTGCTGTTAAAGACAACGTGGTTTGCATTCGTGGTGAAACGAGTAAGGATGCCATCTGGAGCTCCTTCAGGAAATGTATGTATCTGAACAGTATTGTTCGATACTGCCGTGATCAGTCTGCCATTCTAAAAAACAAAATCCATCACAAAATTTGTTAGTTAAAACCCATTTAAGCCCACGGAGCCAAAAACATTGCTCTGATGGTACAAATATTTGGACAGATTAGTAGCTCCAAAAGAGGTCCAACAGTAAGAGTAGTAGGGAAAATATTCTTTAACTTTTAACTTTAAAACTTTAACCAAACTATTCAAAACTAGAAAAAATATTCTCTTTCAGTCCTGTAGAAACACACTACTTAATACTGGCACTCCAGTTGCTTCAGTAGACTTAAAATTTATTACGCTAACTGTATGGCAGTTTACGACATCAAGATCTTCCCAACTTGTATCTTTACTAAAATACTGAATACTCGAAGTCACTACTGAATTTCAAAAAGAACTATCCAGACTTCTTCTGGTGGATGGAAAATTGACTCCTTTTTCATAGGCAAGAAAGCTCGTTGAACAGGAGGAATCTTGCATCCTATTTAGATCAATATGCTGCAGGATCAGGAGAGGGCACCCTTGGACCGAACTGCTCAGTTAAACACCACCAGGGAAAGCTGAGAAGTTCATGAACTATAGCTGGGTTCTTTTCAGAAAACAGAAGGCAGATGTTTACTACAAATGAATCCAGATTAAAAGAAGTGTAAAACAAAAGAAATAATTATCCTATACTTGGACGAGTATCTCTTCTTCAAGCGACAATGCTATTACTCAGTTGTACGTAGCAGTAAGTCTTTTGAAATAAAGAAATAAAGATATGCCTTATTTCTCTGAGAGTTCAAAGTCTCTCTTTGAGAGTTCTCAAATCAGTTCCTCACGACATTTTCATTAATGAAGAATGATTTTTGAAATCAGATTTCCTCAAGTTAAGTCTCGCAAAATCACTCAATAAAACAAAAGGAAAAACTTTGAGACTTCTCAAGCTAAAAACCAGCATACAAAGCATTACCTGACTTTGTGAAAGTAATTTTTGATTAATATGGATTATAATTCCTTGTATCTTAAAACAGGCCCCCATAAAACAACCTCTTGGCCCTTTTTCCTAATACCCAACGATCACATCTTATTCTGGGAAACTTTCTTCAGCTCACATTGTGGGAAAACGCCAGAACAGCCTAAAAAGTTCACTGCATAATTAGCTTAATCTGCTGGGTTTGTTTCTCAGAAAGGAAATCAAAGTCAGAAATGAATATAACACTGTGAAGAAAGAGGAGGAAAAAATATATTACTGAAGTTTAGGATAAGGAATAATTCCTTTATAATTCTGCATGGGGTAAAACAAACTGTCAGAAGTATTCTTGATTTATATAAGTATTTTAATTTATAGTTTAAATATTCAAAAAGTCTATGGGCACATTTAGTCAATTGAATTTCTATGTATTTCAGAAAATTATATTTTCAGTACTGCTTTAATATTTTCACTTAGACATAAAGGTAGAATATGTTCACAAGCTCAAATTTAAATACCTGCTGCTCATTAAAGAGCTTTACATTTATTATTTCCATACATAATCTGAAGATCTACATATTTAACATATATCAGACTGAAATGTGCTACATACAGTATTATTCTTGCCTTTTTCCATATAGTATCTCAGTCTATGTTTAATGTTACCCACACGAGCAACATCCCTGAGCTTGAAAACCCAGCATCTGCACAGTCACACATGCCAGTACAACAGAATTCAGTGTTAACGACACTACCTTTAGAGCGCAAGAATAGGCCTTTTCTCCCACATTAATGGACTTGGGATCATCATCGTCCAGGTTTTCCCAAATCCTCACATCTCCATCACTCCCACAAGTTACAATGCAGCTGTGGAAAGACACAGGATTTGTTGACATTCAGGAATGGAAAGGACAGCCACTGTGACAGTGTTACCATTTTTTTATATTGAAACACAATACATACCATCTGATACAGCAAATACCTACATTTAAAATGTCTAAGTAACTTATTAAATACGAGGAGGAAAAAAAAAAGTCACATCTGGTAGCATAACACAGTACCTGGAGTCTCTGAGAACTACCTAGGCCTGACACTCATCAGACTTCTTCCAGAACCTACAGCAAATTTTTCAAAGGACTAAATTAGCAGTGATTTATCCAAGAACCGGGCATTTGGTTGCTTCTTAAGCCTTTGAAAACGTACCTTACAGCTGACTACAAAGTTGAAAGCAAAACTAAGAGCGTGAACACATACTTGACTGGAGTTTAACAAGCTTAACACGTTCCAGGCTTATAGAACCCTTAAAAAAATGGCTAATTCAAGTTTGTTGGAATTAACTTTCACAATTTTGACGCAGTAAACAATAACCTGTAGTCACAGAACAGAGAAATTTGCATGGGATTTTTAACTAAAGCTATCATGAATCTACAGTCAAGCCGTGCATTCTTTTTTTCTGAAGTTGTTTGCAACCCCAAAACTGTGAAGTGGTACAAAGTGAACCTGTGGCGCTGCTCTTAGTCCCATAAGATCTGTGTTTTGACAACACCACAACGCTGTGTTGATATTGAATATACTGATGCAGGGGAGTCCAGCAGTAGTGGACCAGCAGTCTTCCACAGAGATGTCTGCACCTTTTCTTAAAGATTTGCACTGTAATGGCAAACAGGGCTTTTTGTGGTCATGAGGGACTGTTATTAGACTAATTCTTAACAGTCCTCTTTGTACTAAGGCTAACAAACTCAAGAAAGGAATAAGCAAATATGGACTTGAACCATACTCAGTATATATAAGACTTACCCCTTGAGTTCATTTTGGGAGGGCTTGTTTTCTGTTTCACCTTTTCTTTTTACTCAATAAAAAGTTAACGGCAAATATTTAGTTTATATTTATCCATTCAAGAACTACTGCAAGAATAACAAGATAGCAAGCCCCATACCGGATTTTTTCAACTACATTTTTAATTCTTTAGTGCACAAGTGAACATATTTTCTACCCCACTACGATGACTTCTGCAAGATTCTGTGAAATTACTCTTATAAAAAGCACATGTAGAGGTTTTATATATGTCTATATATATAGGCATATATGCTATATATATATATATATAGGCTTACACTGAAGTTATATGTCAATCATTTCAAAATTCAGGGCATGAAAGAATATATCTTACAGCCAATTCTCTACACAGGCAAAAACCCCAAAGGAAGATCTTTAAGGCCTCTTCCAACTCAAAGCAGTCAACAATGACACAAGTGGACTTGCCAGGCCACAAATCCATCCCACTACCTCACCCAGCAATGGCCAGTGCAGAAACTCGCCTGATAAAGCAACAGAGAAGGACACGACCACCCCTTCCCCAAACTAGGTTTCCCCCTGGTCTCTAGGAGTTAGGCAATTACCTCCCAGTGTCATCGAAGCAGACATCCGTGTGGCCCTCGGTATGGCCGTACCGCATCGGCTTTTGCGTGGAAGGCATCTTCGCTCTCACCTGTTTACATGGGATAGAAGGCGGGGAGAAATACAATAAATTTTAAAAGAAAGAGCTTCGGAAAAAGGCTCAGGCGGCCGGGCAAGGTCAGAGCTGCTGGAATAACAGGGGTGGGGACAAGGCCTAACCGGATCACGG